GATTCTCAACTGTTTGAAAATATCGACTAAATCACTGTGCTATCAGACTGGATCAGATTATTTACGCTGGTGTCACCGATTCGATCCGTATCTTTCTTTTAACATGGCAGTTTCTTGACTATATACAAAGAGAGGGTGAAATACTGATTTTAAAATATATTTCTAGTTTAAGACAGCAATCTTCAGACTCACCGCTGTGAAAATCTCAAATTCTACATATTTCTAGTTCTTTATATACATTTTCTTGCCTTTAATTTGGAGACTACTGAATGAGATACCACATCTTGAGTTAACACCACACGTTCGGAGACTACGTGGTTCAAGATGAGAGCCTTCTGGGATACTGTGCTGTGTAGTCACATAGTTGTCCGACATTTCAGAGGTGTTTACTACCTCCATCATCAGGACGATGAGTGATCGCCCTCGTAATCGGTCAACTTACATTATTCACCACCGCGAGAACAACAGTTCTTCAACATTCAGCATCCTATTGTGATACACAGGAACTACTTTCCGATATTCGCATACTGATTTTGTGTCGTGTATCAGACTTTGTCACATTTTATAGAACCTTATTTAACGTTCGTGTCTTTCTCTTTCTTTCTTGCAGAGAGGTATAATCTCGTCGCCTAACAATGAATACTACATCATTAACCCTTTGCCTCGTCGGTTCCGACGAGGATCTGCCAATATACCTCACGTAATCGTAAAATGGACACCACCTTCGTTAAGTGGAAGGGACGAAGATATTTCATCATGCGCATCGCAACATCAACATCAGTTTCGTGATGAAAATTCAGAATCAAGTGCACACCGAATAAACAGCAGATTACTATCAAATTCCCATATTAGTACTTTTGATAATTCTAGTTCTTTGAACATCAGTGACGGTAATATTTCACGAAGTTCTGTTCCAGAACGTGTGTATGATGTAAACAAACGTGATAGAGTGGATTTTGAAAAGACTAACATGTTATCATCAAAACTGGATGTGAGTGAGGAGGAATCAACAAAGACATCACGTACGTTCAATGGTGATGATAACGAAATAACAGATTCATCATCTACAGGAAATAGAACGAAGTTCGGTGACGTGAGGGGCAATACAGTTCAGGGTGTTAAGCCATGCCACATTTGTTCCGAAGAAATCAAGGTAGTGCAGAGGAGAGGTAAAAGGTCAGTGGTGTTGGTACCAGGGATGCCAATCCATGTGGAGACGGCTGTGTTTGTAGACAAGGACCTGTACCAACACATGGCCCTCAACTTTCCAGCTGACACAGAACGCGAGCTTGTTCGTGTGGTACTCGCCATGATAAACGCAGTAAGTCAGTATTCAACAAAGTTTACATAGGTGGTTTGGCTTCCGACATCTCTCTTCTCTCCAAGAATATATGAGATGACATAAATTTTTTTTGTAAAATTTAAGTATAAAAGATATAACATTTTTCTGCAGCATAATTGATTTTTAACTCTATTATGCATACAATGAAGCTGTTGCTAATTTATTTGTCAGAATACTACCTGAAATGAGAGTCCTGGAAGTCACTGAGGGGTTTGTTATGGTTTGACAGGTCCAGCTGCTGTACCATGATCCATCACTAGGCCGCCAGGTAAACTTCGTTCTTAAACGCCTGGAAATCCTTCATGCGGACCCAGCATCACTGCAGCGCCCACATGATATTGACCGCTTCCTTAGCAGCTTCTGCACATGGCAGCGCGGAGAGAATCCTCCAGGAGACTCTGACCCTCTGCATTGGGACCATGCCCTCATCCTCACAGGCCTCGATCTTTATGTTGTTAGTAAGAACGGCAAAGTCAGCAGTCAGGTTGTTGGTATGTACTGATCGTTACTAATTATGAGGAGTGTACAGTCAAGTCCAGCAAATTTATTTCTTATCCTCTTCAATTTGGAATGAAATGATGTGACTGGCATATTGCATGATGTAGGCATTTAACATCCACTGATGGAAATATGAATTTTATGATTTGATATTCTTTTCTCTTATTCAATATGAAAATGAAGTGGAAATTTTGTGATGAAATTTCTACTTGCTGAGGAACATTTGGTTTTAAAATTCACTGCAGTGATCAAGCATACTATTAGCACCATATAGGATTCTGAACAGTTAGTAATACACTTATGGGAAAATCAGGCATCCAGTCTCGATGATGCAAGCATGGCGTGTACTAATTTCAATAATGTAAACACTAGTTCTTCAGAAAATGACTGGGAAGTGCTTTCAGCAATCTGTTTGCTATGGACAATTAACTCCCAGTGATTTCCATCTTTTTTGGCCACTAGATGGGCTGATGGGAGGCCAGAAGTGTCAAAACCACATACAGATCTTGCAACATGTCAAATCATTTCTTGTGAGGGCATCAAGGATCTTACACTATAAAATTTGTTCTATAATCTTCTGTACACTTCTCACAACAGAAAAGTAAAAACAGTCAAGCTAACAAAATATCTGTCAATATCACATACATACAACCATTCAGACAATCAAGGTTATTAAATGTCATAGAACAATCAAAAGAAGTCGTATGCTGAACCTTAAAAGTAATAGGACATGCCACACTTTTTAATTGCAAAAGAATAGGTTATGTAAGATTTGAGATTTTCACAGCGGTGAGTATGAAGATTTCTGTCTTCTGGGTTGTTGCGCTGTGTAGTCTGGTCGATGTTTACCAACGTTTCAGAGGTCATACTGCCTCCATCATCATGGCGGTGAGTATGACGATTTCTGTCTTCTGGGTTGTTGCGCTGTGTAGTCTGGTCGATGTTTACCAACGTTTCAGAGGTCATACTGCCTCCATCATCATGGCGGTGAGTATGACGATTTCTGTCTTCTGGGTTGTTGCGCTGTGTAGTCTGGTCGATGTTTACCAACGTTTCGGAGGTCATACTGCGATTCATCGCCCTGATGACGGAGGCAGTATGACCTCTGAAACGTTGGTTAACATCGACCAGACTGCACAGCGCAACAACCCAGAAGACAGAAATCATCAATAGGTTATGTGTTTTTATAACAAAATTACAAGCTAATTGTACTTTCAGGTCTGGCTCCTGTAGCTGGTATGTGTACTGCAACCAGCAGTTGCACTGTTAATGAGGGTCGACATTTTGAGAGCGTTTATGTAGTGGCACACGAGATAGGACACAAGTAAGTTCTTATCACTACTTACATTAATTCTCTGTTACAAATTAACTGGGAAATTAGTATACTTACTATAGCAAAGACCAATGTAGAGAATTCCTGAAACTGAAGAATGCAGGAGTATATTCTGGAGAAAGCTGAATTTGATGCTGTATCATATTTTGATCTGTGTAACTTCACTGGAGACTGTTCTTGTATTCAGATGGTATAATTTCAAACATGTTTCATTTCATACTCTTAGCCTTGGCATGCGCCATGATGGACCCTTAGCAGAAAATGAATGTGATCCTGGAAGTTACATCATGTCACCAACTTTAGGAAGTGGAAAGATCACGTGGTCTTCTTGCAGTCGACGGTACCTGCAAATGTTCCTAGAGTAACTATCACTTTGGTCTCTTAACAAGTTTCTTAATGAGCTCATTCATTTCTACAGATCTAACAAGTATTTTAAATATCAGGACAAAAACCCAGGTACAAAATAGTGAATGTCATTACCATGTCTCATTTAAAATTACTTACACTCTGAAGTTGATATAACATTGTTAAATAATTAAAGGAAGAACACTTTAACTTTCGATAACCACGTCACAAGCTGGTAAATGTTTTTTTCTTATGAATGCGTCTTAACCACTTCATCTAACTCGAACAAGTTTGATTTACATGGACTACGGTAAAAATTATGTGTCATTATTTCATATGGTAAACTATATTAAGAAATGTGATACCACTTAATTTAGCCTGCATGTAAAGGAGAAGTTACATTACACTTCTATGGAACAAAATTAAAATTTTCCTAACAAATATTAGAAACAGATCTCACCAAAATCAGTTTAGAAATTTGGTAGATAAAACGCGCGGATGGTGAAACATGACTGCCCCATCTATGAGTTCACCTCATGTATTGAGCACTACAAATCTATAAAAATGACTGTTTCATACAAGATTATATTACTTCTTATTTTCATTCAAGAACACCTCAGTCGCAATGTCTGTTGGACCACAGCAGTTCTGGTGGACAGCTGGACCACAGTGCCGAAGGAGCACTACCCGGAGAGAGATTTAACGCAGATCAACAATGTGAGCATTACGTTATTAGCGCATTGTAAGGAAACTGATTAGTGTCAGTCATGCATCATGACAGTGCTAATCAACATATTTTAACTGCAGGTTCTAGGAAGAACTTACGTTGTCCATTCTCCTCAAATGCTTCAATTTACATTGTGAGGCAAGGAGAACTATAAATTAATAACTTAAAGTTATTAATTAAATTTAATTAATGTAAGATATGACAAAGGTGGCAGACCTCAATTTTAATTCTACTTAACAGAACTTTATCTATATTTGCCATTTGAGGAATTCTCTGTTATTTACATGAAACAAATAAACATTTTTTACAGGTATGCTGAAATATGGTCGTGGAAGTATTCATGCCACACAGCAACCACTTGATGACGTGTGTCGCGATCTACATTGCCAACGAGACCGTTATACATGGACCTCACATCCTGCGCTAGAAGGAACTTTCTGTGGTAACAACAAGGTAAGCACATCCTCAAGCAGTACCCGGAATTTCTGTATGACAAGTCGTTCTCATTTAGAAATATATTTTCAAACAAAGCACTTCAGAACAGTGCAGTTAGTTAAAAGAAAAATTTTCTCCAACTAAACACATACAACAAACTATACTTAAATATTTTAATGTTCAGATGTGTTTGTATTCATTCATTGCATAAAAATAATTGGTCACTTTTTCAATCAATATATTACTGTTACATCCGATGTGACCTAACCATTGTAATGAGTATGAAATTCCCCCCAATACGTAATCATTTTTAAATTTAGGTGTAATTACTTTATAAGTATAAGGCAATACAGGATATTTTTAACTGATTCCATTCTATGTTTAGAAGTTACTAGCAGCTTTTATTGTTATATATTTTGGTCAGAGTTTGGCCATCTTCAGTTACCAAGATACATAGAGAAAACAAAACGGCATAACAAAAAAATCAGGCTGTTTGAAACACGTCAGTTGAATTGAAGTTACATACGTTCATCATTTATCATATTTGTGTATGTTCTATACTTATAAAAATTTTACATAATTATATTCATTAGAATAGCCATAAAATACAGGCTGAATAACAGTACACACTTGCTATATAGTAATTTCTACATGAGAATTACATAGTTAGGTCACCATCATGATGAATTCATTAAAAACCAATTGCATAAGTTATGGACATATTCTTGTTATCAGTGGTGTCGCAGTGGTCGATGTGTGGGGAAAGGACTCTCAGCATTACAAGCTGGATTTTCACTTAATCAACGGGTGGATGGTGCATGGAGTGAATGGTCACCATTTTCAGAGTGTGCCTCAGGCTGTCTGTATAGCGATGAAGGCCGACTACATGCTGGAAGCACTGGTATCATGGTATCGACAAGACGGTGCAACAACCCCAGGTATATAGATAGTGAAACTCACCATTAGTGTCTCTCAACTTTAAC